GTGGTAGTTGCAGCCTGAGTGGTTTCCCTCTGATAGGAATGCTCACTTCATCCCACCAGCTCCCTCCTTTCTCTAGTCTTTTTTAAAGATAAGAGAGTAGCTTTGGAGTCTCCCTTTACGGTAGCTGGCTTAAAAAAACACCTATACAAATAGGTACAGCATAAAGTGTGGATGAGGACGGGGTGCTGACTGACTGGCAACTTTTGGGTGCTGCTGTTGCTCAGCTAGAAGAAGCAGTGGTGGACACACGAGCTTCACTGTCTAGAAGTGGTAAGGTGATGGTCTCCTGCCACACATTACTGACATTAGAGTGGCAGGAAGGAAGGAATAAAATGATACAGATCTATGGCTGCTTGAAAGTATCTCATTCATCCCATACTGGACCTGACATATTACAGTCATCTCTTCTCTACAGTTTTGATCACACATCGCTTCATGAAAAGACCTCAAAGTTTCAAGAACCTTGTAGTTCATTAAGTGGCAAAGTCCAATCCGAGACTAGTAAAATTATAACCCGAAAGTGAACACGCAGATTAGCTGCTGTTTGACATAACTCTGATCAGTTTCTGACATCTTTTTTAAAGCTTTAGAGTCCCTCGGCCCTTTTCTGGCTTTTGTGCTTCTATTTTTTTCCCCTCTGTGTGTTAAGGCATAAAAATAATAAATCATTTTTTAAAAAAATAATGTTTAAAAAGCTTATGAGCAGCCAAGTAAGGCAATAGCAGGGATTAGGGCTGACCCATCTGCTGTTTTTCAGGATATGTAGTCTGCTTTGTGTTCCTTAGAATAAAGAGCTCCAGCAACAACAACAACTTCTGAAAAAGCCCTGTGGTTATCGGCCTTGATACGTATCTTTTCCCCTAGCAGTGCTATTAACGAGAGGGGCAGAGCGGTTCAGTCGGGAAAATTAGTGCAGGGGGAAGTGTTATTATGCTAATAGGGATCCCTCCGCTGGTAGTCCAGTTTGGAGCAAATCTAGTGGGAATTAAAGAGGAATTAAGAAGATGGATCCTCTGAGGGGAAAACATGTTTTAAGCATGTCAGTGATATGCCCCTTTTGGTTATTAAAACCAATCAGGAAAGACCATGAATCTGGGCACAAAAAAATGAGCAATGAAAATTTACATCTCTTTTTTTCCCTTCAGGTGTTTTGAAAGTTCAGAATTACACTTCTAGCGGCTTTTTTGACCCTCAGCAACAAAAAAAAATGCAGGGAACATTTTGACCAAGAAAATGACTAGAGGGGAAACTTAAATAGCTTCTCTCCACCCGTCTTCCGTAGCTGAATTAGATGATTAGATGAAATCAAAAATGGGATTATTTACATGAATGAAGACTGTTCTCACTACAAGATAGCTATGTGTATATGTTTTGCTGAAAATTGATTGTGTTAATTACAACTACCTTGTCTATTAATTTCAAAAGGAAACAAGCACAAATAACTTTCTCTGGATTAGAGCTTTGTTCCTGAGCACTTACCCAATATTTTTGCCATTGTCCTTCTGCATCTTCTAGCATACCCCACCTATTCAAAGAGAAGACATTAGTAATACATATTTTTCCCCCTGGACATCTTAGAAGGATCTTTAAAAAAAAAAAGGAGTGGAGGAGAACTTTTGTCTATTTTTTTTAGAGAGAACAGTGAGTATAAGAATAACAAAATCGTCAGTTTATTATGGTCCCTGACCAGCATTAGCAAAATATAGGTGCATATATATAAATTCCCCTCTTACCCCTATGGGTGGTACGTGTCTTCCTCAATCTCAGGTCCTCTACCAGAGGC